CAGGTTTTTTTGGATATACTGTATTTTGGATAATTTTGTATTTTTAACAAAGTAATCATAACAATAATTTAAAAAATATATAGATGATATAAAAAAGAATAATTACTTGGGGGTAGGGATACCTTACCTTCTTTTTGACGGCAGAGTTCCATTATTCCATCTGCTGATTTTTTTACAATCTATGACCTTTCCCTAGTACTGATTTGTGACATTTTGATGACTATAGAAGATGCTTTGAGTCATTAGTGAAGATGCTGCCCTAAAGTGCATGTCAACTAGTATCTGGAATAATTTTGTTATGGTTCTTTCTTTCACTCCCAGCAGCAGACCTCATCACTGTAGATCATGAAAAATGCATGAGCTGACCACACTTCTTCTGCTAGTGGAAGAACAAAAGAATCAACACCTAATCACCCTCACCCAGCAATGGCCAGTTTTGTTGGCACAATCAGGTTAGATGCAAAGCCACATACATGTATTAAAAGTATTAGTTCATACATTAATGTATTAGAAAAGTGAGAGTATACATTTATAATGGCTTTACAATGGGGATGAGGAGAACACTGAGGTCCAAGGGCAGGAAAATATAACTAGCTAAGCGAAAATAACCCACCTGTATGCTCTGCAAAGATCTAGCACTTTTGCTGGATAATTATATTCATTATCTTCCCTGATGAAATTCTGCTCAACTTTGTTCAACTGGTGAAAAGACATATCACAAAATTTTAGGTGCACAAGACAAATGCAATGTGTGGTGCTTCTCTAAATGAGGAATGCAGTTTTCCTTTGGCCCTAAGCTTTTGCCCCAAGTATTCTGTTATTTTCCATATCTTTCCATCTACTTTAATCCACACTACTACTGACTCATTATTATTAATGTATGTAACTAGTTACTTCATAGCCACCTTAAAGGCTGAAATATTCTGGCACCAGCCAAAGCTGGGTGCAACCTCTTCCTGAGAAATATCAGCATTATCTGCCATGGCCAGACATCATAAAACCTCCATCAGAGGTATAGTTACCGTAGAATAGATTGAATCAGTGTCTTTGAATGCCCATGAATGAAGTACGATAGACACCACACTGCTACATATTGATTCTCCAATAGACCATGTTGTAAACATATCAATCCAGTTTGTCTCCAGAACTAGAGATCAATAAAGCACATAAGGCAGCAAAACATGTTGTCAGTTACAAATGTATATGAAGTTTGTTTTTAAGACTATTTTTATTAAAGGAATACTGACTTCCTTAGCTAGCATAAGAATCAGGAGTGGACATGCTCCTGGTGGCAGGAGCCTGCAGTTAACATTTTTACAGACCCTGTGAGCTATGGGTGTAAGCAGGGAAGAGGGAAGAGTTGTTTAATTCTTCTGGAAAATATGTTTCCTCTCTAGATTTTAAGGGAATTTTTAAAAAAGCATATTAAGCCTATTTTTTAGGGCTCTACAATTTCATTTTTGTGCTTCAAAATGACAAAAAAATGCTGATTTTCAGTAACTGTGGTCAGAAAAGAGTATAAAAGGAATCAAAGAGTGTTAGAGAATGCAAATAGGCCTTGAGTCATAGAAAATCCAGCCATTATGACTACCAGTTATTTCTAGTCCTATATCTATACGTGTGATTTAACAATGCAATTCTATGCATATCTACTCAGAAGTAGACAAAAAAGGCACTGGCTTTAAAATCAGAAACTAAATATGTGTGATCAATTTGGTCAGAAGTTCACAACTTTTGAGGGTCAGAGATACATTTGGAATTTTGAGGGTATGTTTTGCTCAAGACTCATTTATGGAAGGCCTGCCTAATCCTAAACTGGCTTTCATGGGAGGCAATTAGTAAGGTGTAGATGTTAGACATACTTTATCCAGATTAGGTGACATGCCTCTGTGAGGTTCTATTGAGGGGCTTCATATCATTCCATCTCCTACAATGATTGTAAGAGCTAGAAAAGGCTATCAGAGCAACACAAACTGTGATGTGAACCAATGCAGATGCTTTGCTTTTAGAAATGGGACAGGGGCATCTTTGAATAGTACTCTGCACAAATGTTTCTTGCAATAAAAATCCTTTGAAGATGTATACGGTTCTAAAAGCCAGTCATAAAACATTCATTCATCATTCATACTTAGCTGCAAGGCACTCTTTATCATGTTAGTAGGATTTTTGAGTAGCCCAAAATCATTATTACAAATAAATATATTGCTAGAGACTCGTGCTATGCCTTGCATCATGTTAGCTTGCTATTTTTTAAAAAATGAAATGAATCTTTTTAAAAAAAAGATGGATCTGGAAGCATGATAGGCAACAAAGGAGATATCTCACAATGAATGAGTGCTTCATAAAAAAAAAAAGGAAGATCTTGCTATCAGCCTCTTAAATATAATTAATAAAATTGAGCCTAAAAATCTGCTTGAGAAATGTTATGTTTGCATAGAAGACAATGATGTTATAGCAGACGAACTAGCAGGATTTAGAGGAGGAAGATCAACTACAGACAAGGCAATTATATTGTAATTCTTAATACAGAAATACCTTTGTGGATCTAAAAGCACCCTATATGCAGCTTTTATAGATCTTGCCTGTCTTTCAATATCTAGACGGATGCTATGGAAAAATCTGCTGGTTACCAATATTGATAAAAACATTCAACAGCTAATATATAAACGTTACTTGAGGGCTAGATATGGTTTCCAAGGGTAAATAACAGATTTGATTAGTACAACCAGGAGTGAAGCAAGGTTGCATCCTTGCTCCATTAGTATTCAATTTTTTTAAAATAGACAAGTATAATACCTTAATAAAAATAAATGTTAGCCACCTAAACTGATTAAGAGATATATTCCAGTGGTCTTGTCTGGTGATGACATTGTTATTCTTTTTCTTAATAGAAATGAAAACAGTTCTAAAATTCTTGGCTCAGTAATCTTTCTGTTTAACTGGTCCATACCTCCTGGATGGCTCCAGAGATGGGTATTATATTCCCCCCTCCTAAAGATGGGTATTACAATCCAACTGCTTTTGGCTATTTGCACAAAAAGTAATGACATAGCTACTGTATAGTACACAGGGGTTTACCTTGTTGCAGCAGAGATGGTACAATCTAACTTTTTAAAACACAATTATGCAAGCTTCTTTATGTGTGCCCTGATGTCCTGGCCTCCCTTTGGCTGTTCTTGAAGACCAATATGGGAAGATTCCTTACCTGGGAAGACAATGTCCTTATGAACAGCAGAGCAGTTCCTGCATTACAGAGACATTTATACTAGCTTCACTTTACCATTACAGGGGTCACAGGACAAATCTACACTTCCCTGCTGCTTTCAGGTTCTCTGCATTGACACTTAGTTCATAGTATGATGTCCTGGGCCATAAACTACCCTTAATGAGTCTCTAGTTTGCCACACTAGAGTGCTCTGTAATCTGATATAATCTTCCACATACTAACCTCATACACCCACCTGGTACTCCTATCCTTCTTTTTAGAGTCTTTTAGATTCATTTTTATATATACTTTGTTTGTTTTAATATAAACTATCTAGCTTTTAATAATATTTATTTTTAGACTCTTATGTATGTTCTATGTCTTCCAAAAGATAACACTACCTAATTGAAGAGACCCAGAGCACATCCACTCTGCTGGAGCATACCAGTTGGGCAAAAAAACATGGAAGTGATTGATCCCATATATAGCCAGCCCCTACACCACTTAGGACTTTATAGTTAATAGCTACACTTTGTATTGCGTGCAAGCAGTGCTGTTTAATAGGAAAGAGGAGAAACTCTGGAAAGTAAATGCTGCCTTTAACTTTGGTTTTATCAATCAATAGGATGGATTCTTCTAATTACCAAAATTCCAACAAATGACCAACCACTCTTGTGAATGTATTTCTGAATATACACTGTATATTTAAAGGTACATCCACAAGAGTGGTTAATCATTTGTTGGGAAGTTGGTATTTATAAGCTGTATATTCAGAGCTGTACTCTCACAAGGAAGTCACCCTTGAGGGTCCTAAGCCTAATATTTTTAGAAATAAATTCTCCTGGTTTCAATGACTTTGAAAATATTCTGGTTTTAATATGAAAACCCCCCTTCATTTGTCCTTGTTGTAAAATGGATGATATTTCCAAAAAAATAAAAAATAAAATTACCCTTCCAGGTAATTTGTCCAGCCATCACCTAAATGTCCCTGAATAGAAAAGTTGATCCAATCGGAGTTTTCGAGTTCACAAAGCACTTTCTTCTACAGGGAGTTCTTGATTTACAACAGTTCATTTAGTGACCTTTCACGTTACAATGGCACTGAAAAATGTGATTTAGGCCCGTTTTTCACCGTTATGACTTTTGCAGCATCCACATAATCATGTGCTTGGCATACATAGGACTGTTGCTGTGTCCTGGGGATCACATGATCTCCTTTTGCAACCTTCTCACAAGCAATAGTCAACTTAACAACCAGATGACTAACTTCATCAACTGCAGTGATTCACTTAACAACTGTGGCAAGAAAAAGGGAGTCCCAAAACTCCCTGAACAAATATCTAGCTTAACAACGGAAATTTTGAGCTCGATTGTAGTCATTGGTGGGATTCAAATAATTTAATAACCGTTTCGCTGCCCTAATGATTTCTTCCAACAACCAGTTCACTAAACTGCTCAGAAAGTTAACAACCGGTTAACTGATGCGAACTGGCTGAATCCCACCACTGATTGTAGTCATACATTGAGGACTAACTGTACCCTACGACTGGATATACCTAGAAAAAAGAAGCGAAAGAGCATACTCCCTGCCCTATTTACTAACACGGGTGTAATATAACGCTGCTGAACCTAAAGCTCTATAATAATGTAGCCTCACCCTCCACCTGCTGCCTCCTTCCCGCTTCTCTGCGCCAGGACCATAAAGGCCTGCCCAGGAGCGGAGGAAAAAAGCCCGTTGCCTCCGGCGCAAGAAAATCTGGCTTTCGCACATGCTCCAAGAGAAGGCCGGGCATGTGCAGTAGCCTGGCAAAGAGGCTGCTCGGGGATCTCTCCCAGCGCCCGCCTCAAACCTCGCCCTCTCCGCTTGCATCCAGGTGCGAGTGGCGCCACTTAGCCGCCATCGGGGCGGAGGGAAAGTGGCGTTTCCGGGTGCCCCTCCGCAAGACGCCCCGCGGGCCGGAGAGGCGAAATGAGCGGCTCCGAGGAAGAGAAGCAGCTGGAGCTCCTCAGCAGCCTGAAAGAACAAGGTAAGGCTCCTCCAAAGCCGCCGGGCTTAGTTTAAAAACCGGCCAGGCTTGTGAGCGGCGCGCTTTCGCTTCTGCTCTCCTTTTCGGGGCGGCTCAGAAAAGCGGGGAAAAACGACGCCCAGGCGGCTTCTGTAGGCAAACGGGTCCCTTCGCCCCGGAACGGCCTTTAGCGTCTGAAACGAATGTCAGAATCCAAGCAGCCGTGACTCTGGTGACCGGCCTTTCAGGGTGGGGTGTCACCTCGGAAGCAGCAGACATGTGGATCCCATCTCAAGACAGCTGTTCGATGACCGGCCTGGTCCTACGCAGAGATCTGCTGGATCCAGATTTCTTATTCCTCTCCTTTGCGCTCTCTCTGTCTGTCTGTCTATCCCCGTGGGCCCGCACTGCAGGAAAATGTTGCAGTCCACCCACTTTCGTTTCTGAACGATTTAACCGAGTCTTAATTTATTTACTTGCTCAAGACTTATCAGTATTTTTGTGTGTGTGTATGTGTGCCGGCTGACCTGGCAGTAATAATAGATTCTATGCATTGGGTGGGTTTGGGATGAAATCCTATAGCATCTAGAAACACCTTCTCACTTTATAAGTCTTCCCTCTTTCAGTTGTAAAACCCTTCACAACTGAACAAAAAATGTCCAGGGAAATTACTTAAAAACAAAAATAGAACTGAATGTGTTTTAAGACTTTGCTTCAAAATGTAACACTTCAATAGATAATACATTCCTGGGTAGGAAATTAAATTTATATCATAACTTAGCGCTTAGCAGTTTTTAATGCTTGAGCAATCCAGCTTTTTTTCATGCTTTAGGCTACAACTGTGAAAATACAGCATCCTAACTTGTGAGTTTAGGGAACAGGCAGGTGCTTAAGGGAGATCATCTGTGTGCAGTGCTCACTCAGTGACAAAATGGTGTGACTGCAGACCAGCTGATCTCTTCTTCTACCTCAGATTGTTTGTGGGGATAGCAATGGAAAGGAATGGAGAGAAGCTATGTTCTCCTTAGAAAAGAAAGTAGTATTAATGAGATAAATTCACCAGTACAATTTCAGCATTTCCCCCCTGATTTCTTGCTGTCTTGTGAGAATTAAAATTCATTTTAGACTACTCTTCAAGGCAGTAATAACTCTGTGAGTTTCAATTAGCCTATTCTGACTTGATGCTATGTCTTATTATGGCACTTAATACTTTAACAAAATCCATTCAAACAAATATAGACCAATAAACCAATGATGGGAACCGTTTTTAGCCTAAAATCTTAAATTTAGACCAACCACTGACATGAACCCCATACAATTTTTTATCTGGGGTTTTACACTGTCTCTTAAGAAGCCTTCCACCATCCAGATTCTCAGTTGATCCAATGTAAATCTGCAGGTGGAAGGGACAATTTCTTTTCCATAGTGCAGCGGGCTTCTCTTTTTAGTGCTGAGAAGATTGGATATGAAACTTTTCTGTTTTGTTAGTGCTGAAAGAGGGGTGCCTTTTCAAAACTCGGGCAGGGGGAAAGGCATAAGTATAGGAGAAGAGAGAAGACAGTTGTTCTCTTTCTGTTAAAAGTTGTGAAAAGATTAACCTCCAATGTCTTGAACTGAACTGTGATCTTTTGCAGACAAACTAATTGTTCTTCTAAGCTGCAAACTATGTCAGGGGTCCTTAACCTGAAATTTGCAGAACAGAGTCTCACAAAATAATTACTATAATGGTGTGGCCAAATATAAAAATTTATCAGTAAACAAGAAAGAACACTAGACTGCAGCTACCCATCATTTTCTTTTTAAGAATTTTTGATTTGATCAAGCATAGAGACACTGTTTAATTGGGTGCTTTGCTTTGCAGCCTGCTAGCTTCCCATTCCAGCCGCCATTCAGCATTCTGAGTCAGTTGAGATGCTCTACCTTCACCAAACTTTTTTGGTGAAATTTCTGGGAACTTTGGAATTTCTATGCAGATTTTGCCCTTGGGTGGATTTTTACATCAAGAACTGTAATCAAATAATATTTCCAGTTATTAATAACCTAAGCATAATCTAATACAAGAAGTTGTGCTTTGAAAGATTTCCAGATGGGAGCTTTTTATTGTGATAAAGTAATGAATTAAGTAGAAGAAAAAACTCAAGTAGAAGAAAAACTCTATAGTCAGTTAAATATCTTCTCCAAGAAGCTCCTTAAAGGTATAGGGAGTCCTCGGCTTGTGACCACAATTGAACCCAACATTTCTCTTGTTAAGTGAGATGTTTGTTAAGTGAATTTTGCCCCATTTTATTTCCTTTCTTGACACAGTTTTTATGTGAATCCTGTAGTTAGTGACACAGTTGTTAAGTGAATCTGGCTTCCCATTGACTTTGCTTGTTCAGAAGGTGACAAAAGGTGATCACATGATCCTGGGACATTGCAACTGGCGTGAATATGAGTCAGTTTCCAAATATCTGAATTTTGATCATGTGACCATGGGGACGCTGCAACAGTTGAAAATGTGAAAAGTGGTCATAAGTCACTTTTTCCGTGCTGTTGTAACTTTGAACGGTCACTAAATGAACTGCTCAACGGCTACCTGTACTGATCCAGCTTTACCCCTAGTGAGCATTCAGCCTGAATATGTGTGGCTCAAAGATAGGAAAATGTGTGGCCCAAACAGGAATTGAAGGACATTCCTGATTTCTGAGACATTATGTATTATATTTTTAATTTAATAAGGATAAAAATAAGAGAAGCCATTAAAATACAATATACATAAAATTGTGCAAGTTTAAAAAGAAAAAGGGTTATTGCACTCTAGCCAACATATCCATTAAGAGTTATCTTGCATTGCAACTTGTAAAATATCAAGTCCAGTTTAAGATATAAATATTAAACGATAAAGCCCATTTGCTACTTTGGAGAAGCAAATTGGAGAACCAGCTAGGAGAAGCATCTTACCAGCGGCAACACTTCATTTAGGGAACTTTTTTGGAAGGGAAGTATGGTAGTCTCTCGTACTGGCTTCTTCAGATGTATCTCAACATGTATCTATTTACTCATACATGTATAGGATGGTCAGTGGTTCTAGGGCCAGCTTGGTCCGTACTATACATTTTTAAAATGAACATTATTTTAACATGTTGCTATTCTTTTTGAATAAGGGACAAAATGTGTTGTGACATCAGTATACAAAAGCCACAACTTCTGTAGTTGTGGACAACATTGTGCTGACATACATTCATAAGAGCAATGTTGAGTGTTGACCTTGATAGAGATAGCCATATCCTTCACCAAAGCAACAAAGGGAAAACATGACTTAAGTACAAAACAAAAAGAAGACATGTGTAAAAGACTAAGGCAGATACCTCCCAAATTCACCTGACCCCAGGGGGTGGGTGGGTGGAATAAAGCAAGTCAGACTTGCATGGCTCAATTAATAAAAGTAGTTTTCGCTGAGTACAATTGATTTCTTGGTTTGGTCTATATAGCAGGACTGACACACACTGTCTGTGTATGATATCCCCATGTGTCTGCTATTTTGACACAATCTCAGTTGTAAGCCCATATTTATGGTGTGTATATAAAAGGGTTGAGTAGAATTAATGGATGTCAAACACAATTTTCATCACTTGGTAATTTAATATCTTACGTGACTATTGTCAAAACTGCACTGTAATACATTCCATATATTTATGTGAAATATACGATAGAGTGCTCTTCAAATATATCAGAATACACTGCATAAATAATGCAGGATGGTTAATAGTAGATATCTTTCCTGAAAGTTTGCTTGATGTATGAACATTGGGTTTCAGAAGAATGCATTGGGTACATCATTCTCATCGTACTCTCATCTTACCTAATAGCTGGATAGGAAAGGTCCTAATCATGTAACCCTGGTACACGATTCATGGGCTTACAGGACAGAACACACATATTTGAATTGGAAAGACTTATTACCATCTCTATGATGATGTAATAAAATGATATTTCAGTTCAGGTCATTGAGGGTCGTATCAGGGTTGTGTTTGACCTCAGGAGGGCCAGGGGGGGACATGGCCAAGGTAGGTGTGGCCAGCTTGACATCACTCATGTTGGGGGCACTTGTGGCCCGAGCGCTCTGCCAACGAAAACGGGCTCCCAAGCTCCGTTTTCTGCTGGGCCTGCCTCCTGCAACAATCTGCTAGCGAAAATGGAGCTTGGGAGGGCCATGCGCGGCCCTCCCAAGCTCCGTTTTTGCTGGTAGAGGCACTGTGGACCAGATCTTTGCTGTTTTCAGGGAGGCCCCATGGGCCAGATCTAAGCACCCAAAGGGCAGGAAGCGGCCTGCAGGCCTTGAGTTTGACACTCCTGCCTTAATGACTTATGTTTCTTTTTCATATAAAATCTAAAGTAATCTTTGTAGCAAGTCTGCTGTTTTGGTTGATCTAGCTATTAATCAATATGAGGGGAAAAAGAAGGAAACTAGAAAGTACATTATTGTTAGAATTTATTTATTACTACAACTTTGTTTAAAACACTTTTTCCTATAATAACTTTGTTGGAAATGTTTTTTCTGCTTCTTCAGTTGACAATCAGTCTCTTTATTTGCTGCAATAACACAGAAAGTTTATTCAAAATCGAAGAGAGAGAGAGGCTGAGAAGCTTATCCTTTATAGACATTTATTTTATACTTTACAAGTAAAATTTTTGTTTTCTTTCAATGAGCAGAATTCTCAAGTTCTGCAAAGAGCATACATTAGAGAGTGGAGATAATATATGGATGATGGGGACAATTAAGACTGAGGCAATAGATGCAAACCAAAAAAAAAAAAAAGACCAAACTCCCCATACCGTAGTCAAGTGCTGGGTTGCTACCAGTTCACCCCAGGTCAGACGAACCGGCAGCGGCAGGCTCCGCCCCCCATCCGGATGTTTCTGGCATGTGCAGAAGCTTCTGTGCATGTGCAGAAGCGTCGCATGCGCCCACAAGCGAACCGGTAGCGGCTGAAATTGAAACCCACTACTGCCGTAGTCCCAATCTATTCCTTCTGTGCATG